AGTCCATTTTGATGTGGTCAAAAATGGCTCGGTCGTCAACTTGTTAGCAATCGTCCCTTTCCCAAGTTCAGTATGCGGACTTTCGTCTAAATCCTTGTTTCTTTCTACCATTTCAAGGTAAAGGCAAAGCTCAGCTAAATATGTCTCACGAGGGATCAAGAACTGTTTAGACGGTCAAGTGTCAATAATCAAAGCACTCCAGTTAGTGAACATCTCCTGTCTAACACCCTCATCCTCAGGCTGCTTTATTTGAGCGCAGAAGATGACCATTGTTTTTACCTAGATTCTATGTTCATTTTTTGCTCTAATACATTTGAACTCGCTTCCGATGGGGATTGGCAGGTAATAAATACAGACTTGGAGTCAGCGATCAATGCTCTTTAAAGCGATATAGCACTCATCATTTGTGAAGGCATCTTTGACTGCAAAGGCTTCCCTTATAAAGTTTAGTGACAAACTAATCTTTCTAGGTGAGACTCCGTGCTGACGATGCCAACTACGCAGCTGTTTCAAAGTATGATTTCGAGTATGTTGAGCCCGGAGTATCGTCTGTGAAGCCAAATCGAGGTAAGTGCAAACGGATTCCTCTGGTTTGCATTTCATTACGGTACACTTGTACTCGTAATGAAATGCATGCGTATGAGTATGCTCTCTATGAGTGTGCTAGTAAACCCAATAGTGATCCACTTAGCTTGCCGTTGTTTTGACATCAAATCATTTAAATTTTGGAAGCAGCCTATTTTTTGTAACGGCTTTGTCCCTGTTATATCTCACCAAACCTACAGGATCCGTATATATAGGGTATCCCAAATCACGAATGTTGAATCCCTAAACTTTGTATCGTCAGCTTTCTCGGACCTTTGGGAACCGTAGGGCTGGTCTCACATTTCACTTTATATTAGATCTGCAGTGCAACCCAAACAATCCATTGCAATATGTTACTGCAGGATTACGGTAGGAATTTGTAGTATAACGCGCAGATCAACTGCCTTCAGAAAAAAAGCGTGGGAACGTGGAAACTTTGGCTTTCGTTGAACGTTTTTGAATGTTTTCATCGTAATCTACGTACAGAAGATCGACGGTGATACATAATAAACTGGAATCCAAGTTTAAGCCAACCCTACGATGGCGACCTACTTGGAGCTGATGATACAGGAGAATTTTTTGCGTTTTCTACAAGCTTTATATTCTTCCTTGCGTAGGATTCAGATAAGCAAACCACTCTTGCTTTTTGCAGGACCGAAATCTGGCGGAACTCATGTCACCTTGTACGGCAGTGATCTTGATGCTGGAAGCGAAGTGCATGTCTCGTTTGGTGAAATCAAATGCGAGGTATCTGGTGGGCAGGAGTGCATTCGAAGGTGCCGCTTATTCTGAGCATACTCAGGTGATATCGCGGTTCCCGGATAATTTGGTATGCCGGATGGGAGCTATGGAGTCGGATGCTGGAGTGAGTAGCAGCAAAGCACTCAGACTGGATTTTGATGGGTCGCCAGGCCGCGTTCCGTATCAGCTCAGTTACGAATTCGTGTAGGTTGTTATATGCAGTTTAGTAAATAAAGAGATTGCGTCCAGAGTTGTCCGCAATCGGCATGCCAGCGCTGGTCACCGATTGCGCGTCCCTGTGCTGCTGGCACCGCTTTGACACGGCTCTGGCATACAAATAGCTGTGGACATAGCCTAAATGATAATTCGAACTATTTTTCAGTTCGAATCCGCGTGTGAGCACAATAGTTCCGGCGAAGAGTATCGCTGCTGGAGGAGTGAAGATCGATGTCAAAGGAGAAGGATTCGCTCTGTTACAGAGACCACGGATGGTCCTCATCAATGATCGGTTCGTGTTTTGTTGAGACTGAGTTCGTTCCCGATTCGATGCTTTATCTGTGACTGGTGACATGCACGTTACAGGGGCATCATCGAGTCTGGGCCGATATGTGACGTGGAGGATGATGGACTGATGGTGTGTCTGACCCCTGGTCTACCCTCTGGAGACACCGGAGGTCGTTTGCATCATAATTTTGCATTCGATTTTGATGGAACAATTACTGAGTCAGTTGCACATTTTTATGTAAATATTGCATATATTGAAAATGTTTATTGACTGTAGGAGTCGGCAAATGGAAGTCTACCCAAATCCCAAAGTAAATGAATTCACTGAGACGAGATTCTATCGCCCTGGCGACAACTACCTCACTATCAACGGCGAAGATCTCAATGTAGGAGCGATGGAAAGGGACATCAAAATTACGGTAAGGTTTTTCAAGCCCTTTCTCGTAATGTGCCGGTGATCAACACGTCATAGGTTGGCGGTGTCGATTGCCAACTAACTGCCTTAGCTCGGAAAGTCCTCACCTGCAAGCCACCAACAGAAAAGCCGCATTTAGATGGTGGATTGGAGCCGGAAGTTGTTGTGAAAATTGGCGGGAAAAGGTATTGCTCAATCTTTCTCTTTCTTTTCTGCTTTCACTCTTTTCTCCTTTTTTCCTTTTTTTCCAAACTCGACGTTCTTTTTTTTTAGCTATAGCATCGGGCTCTTCTCGTACGATTCTCCTTCACTCACTTCCGGCGTGGTGTTGGTAATTCTAGGATGTATCGCAGCGATGCTTGCATGCTTTGTTTGCTTGGCGATTATGTACAGGTAATATATCGGAAAGCTAGTGAGGCTATAGGCTAATAGATTTGCCGGTAATTATCCCTTGCGTGACAATATCTGCCGACAACATTTGCGCGTGAAAGTTACCGTAACACACAAAATCAAAGCACTCTACAACCAAATTGTGAACACAATGACTCCACCACATGCGTATTTTTTTCAAGCGCAAATGTTGCCGGCAAAAACACGGTTACCGTAGCTCTTCCAGCATATATGAAGAAAAGATTTGAATATAAGCACTCAGTAACATTTAATCAGGCGAAAGACCAACTCTCATCAGCGACAAATGAAATATTTGAAGACCCAAATGGATACAATAGAAATGAAGGTGAGTCGTAGATATCATGCTTAATTTTTCTGCGGCGGCGTTGGCTGCATAGCTGAAATCTGAGCAGTGATATTTTAGGTTGCTACAGAATGTAAGGAAGCCTTTGCCGAATTGCAGACTTCTCTAAACCAGTACACTGCTGATTTGCCTCTTGGAACACCTGTTGTACCTTTCCTGGAATACAAAGATTATTGCGCTAGGGTATTTTTGATTTTCAGTTCAAAATTCAGGGTTTAATTGACCGATCTTAGGTGTTGTTCCCCAACAATCCACATAACCACCCAGTGCTTCGAGATCTGGAAGTTGATAGCCAAAAAGCTGGTGCAATTGAAGCTGGACTGAGAGAATTTCATAAGTTGCTCATGAATAAGGTGAGTGGCATTCACTGGGTTGTCGGGGCGGCCTCTACCAATCCGCTGCCTGATCGGGCGCCGTTGCGCCCGATCGGGGAAAATTGGGAGATTGATGAATTGCTGGTGGTGGAAGTTTGGTATGAACTGAATCTTCACTATTTTAGACTTTCTTCCTGACAATGGTACGAACAATGGAGTCGAACAAATATTTCCTGGGTAAAGATCGTGTCTATGTTGGTTCATTAATCATGGTTGTCTTGCAAGTGGGTCTCCTAAAACATCTGAATTTTACTTGCTTCGATCAAGTTCGCCTATTTTCTGTAAATTCAGGAGAAAATGGGATATTGCACGGAAATGCTCAAACAACTTCTCAGAGAGCTGATTGATCGCACGGTTGAGAAAAAATTCCAGCCGAAGATCTTATTTAGAAGAAGCGAGAGTGTGGCCGAGCGCATGTTGGCAGCGTGGTTCACGTTTTTGATGCATGATTACCTTAGAGTGAGATTTGAAAAATTGTATTT